TCAGATAGGTTAAGTAACTTGCCTGAGGTCACACAGCTAGTAAGGAGGGATGGAGTATGCTGACAGGTCTGTCCTGCCCCTGCTGCTCTATCCCCAGTCTGACTCCAGCTATGGGGAGTGTGGTTACCCGTGGATGTTAGGCCAGGGGCAGGCTTGGCACCTCCTGGACTGAAGTGAAAGTTTCTGTACATGCCACTTGGTTACCTGTTTGTCTTCTAACACCTGACGCAATGAAGTGGCCTCTGTGGGGCTGGCTCAGACACCCCAAGGTTCTCAAAAGTTCTTCTAAATGACTTCAAGCCTCTCACAGCTCACAGCAGTGTGAACAGAGTCCCTAGGACGCCAGCAAAAATTTAGCAAAGCCTAATGTGAGAGACAAATCCCTATGAGGGGCAGGGTCTGCAGGGTCCTTAAGCCTACCTCGCAGGCAGGTATGGCTGTGTTTGCCTGGGTCCCGGCCCTGATCTGGCAGCTCAGCCAGATAACCTCCGGGAGCACCATTAGAAGCTGACTTGACCCTGAGGACCAACGTGATTCCAGACAGGTCCGAGGGGTTGCTTTTGAACAGCATCCCCTTGTAACTTGAGCTTGCTGCATTTGGGATAACACGGGCGCAGACCAGGAATTCCATCACTTCCCAGCCTGTCACCTGGCCCTGCCCTGCCTCATGGAGGTGCAGGAGAGCCGTGAGAACAGACACTTGAGTCTCTATGCAGGAACTCTGGAGATCATTCCATGATCTCATGGAGCAGTTTTCTCCGGGCTGGAAAATTAAAAGCTGGTGACCCTGTGCTAGGAAAGATAATGAATCAAATGGTGGACCTGGGCGGTAAGCTAGTTTTTTGTTTCCCGGCTTGCATAGCCGCTGCAGTGAAGCTAGTACAAGCCATAATTCATACAGGAAGATGGAATTTGGCCCATGAAACGGGGCAGCTGGAGTCCTGTCCCTCCTCTGCCACTTACTAACTCTGTGACCTTGGCCCAGACACTGACCCCCACTGAGCTCAGTGGCCAGCAGCCTCAGGACTGTTGTGGAATGTTCCACGCTGTTGTGGAAACTTACAAGCGAGCCCACGGAATAAGCAAACACTCCATCTGTACACACAGGGGTGTCATGAATGCTCTCCCTTCCCCCACACCCGGTCCCCCTCCCCCACTGGCCTTAGAGCCTGTGAAATAAGACTAAGAACTTTCAGAGGGGAAATCATTTTTCAAGGGCAACCCCAGACACCTGAGTTTTACAACGGTCATTGATCATTTTCAGGCAGAGACCTTGTCAGTTTTGCATTTGGTTTGAATAGACCCACAGGATTGAGTTCTTGCCCTGATTTTTACATACATAATAATGACACCTGCAAAAGACATCGAAACCCCTCCTGATGTTCCTGGTCAGGAAGTGACTCAGCTGGGCTGACTGCCCAGCCACCAGGGCCTTGGGTACCTTGTGTGGTCATGGGGTGCCATAGGAGCAAAACAGGCATAGCTTCAGGAGCCTTCTCCACTCGCCAGTGCAGTTTCCTGGGGCCCCAGCCACCGTCCGTCCTGCCCTGGAAGGACCCCCTCTCCAAGAGTGAGTATGAAAACACCTATGGACGTGTCTCCTGCAGCAGGTGGTTCCAGGGCCCATGGTCCTAGTCAAGATCTGATGAGAAAAGGGATGTTGATGTTGCCTTTAGATCAGCACGCGGATATCTCTTTTCCCCACATACGCAGTTTAGTGCCAAATAGGCACGGATACCGGGTTCCAAGTACACAGTAATCCCATTTTCCCAGGAAGCAGGTTTTTTTTTTTTTCCATTTTATAACCAACTTACATTTAAAGGTCTTTTAATGGTAGAGGTAGACGAGTCAAATGCCTACCTAAAATACAAAATTCATTCGGGCAGCTACACATTCCTATTCAAAGGTTTATATTTCTATTTTAACTTAGAAATACTGCTGTTTTCTTTCTGTAGCATATTATAAAGTCAGACCTGATTAAGCTGCTGGGTGTCCGGGGTCAAAAATGAGTGAATATGAGCAGTTTTGTAAGGTGCAACCGAACACTTGCCGGATCTGTCTTCATCATCACTCGCTCTGCCTTCTGAGTCATCTGCTTGCCAGATACAACCTGTCACTGCTGAGTTCACAGAGGTGCCACCTCTTTTGGAATCTGTATCCGCTACTCTCGCTGGATAGTCCCTCACAAGCTGGGGCATTACTTAGCACTGTGTCTGCATGACTTTGCTCCGCGTTGGCGTGACTCCGCTCTGCATTCGCGGGATTCTGTACTACGTTAGGACCCTTAGCCTTCTCTTTCTTTCATTCTGTTGGTGTGGACTCCCAGTCTCTTTGTATAACCACTTACCAGCTTGCTTTTAAGTGATTTTCAAACATTTCCTAGATCATCCTCCCTCATTTGTGATTATGAAGTCATGCCTCCAGGAGATAGATTTCTTTGCTTCCTTTTTTTTTCTTAATCCCCAAGTGATCTTGCTACAAATAATTAAAGACACCCCTTATCCCTGCCCCTGAACTGTGAGAGGTTTTGTTCTCACTTAAGTATAAGGCAACTTACTCTTTTCCAAGAATAATTTTGAGCGAAATCCGTCTCCCCCTTATATTCGAGCATACCTGTCGCCGGTGTATAAACTCAGCAGGGCAGTAGCTGGATGTCCATTCTGGCTTAATTATACATTTTTGCATATGAATCCTCACCAGTTCACTGTAAGAAAAGAGAGCTCATTATACTCTACACAGGACACTGGGCAGAAGTTCCTGACAAATCAGAGGTTCTCAGCTCTGGGTGCCCCTTCTAAGGATACTGATCGATTGGTCTGGGACATTGAGGTTTTTAAAAACTCATCAGGTAAACCCTGCAACAGAGCCCAGCTCCCTCCTTGATGCCCTTCAGGTGGAAGTCATGTTGCTATGGCAGCCATCCCATGTTCAAGGTCTCCTATTGGTGGGACCTCCCCGTGTGACCTCATCCCTCCACCTCGGCACCCCTCAAACTTCCCTGGGCCCCGGGTGCCAACTCCTGAGGTCTAGGATGGAACCCAGAAATCTGCATCCATAATGCATGATGAATTCTCAAGCCCACAAGCAGCCCCTGCCTGGTTTATCTAGAAGTTAGGCTGGGAAGGGAGACACAACGCTGAGGCCCTGGGGCTGGCCTTGCCCACGGGGGAGAGTGCTTGTTCTGGTTTGAACATACCAGAGCCCACAGGGGGGCTTCTGGTTCTCCCACCACTTCTGTGATTTGAAAAAACCGGGGCCCCTTCAGAGCACCATTCCCTCGGAGACTCTTTATCCTCGTAAAGTGAAAAAAAACACACACAAAAAACCAAAAACCAAACAACTATGATCCTGCTTGTCAGACTAGAACACTGAGGAATTCACCTGGTGCACACAAGTTCTTTGGGGAGCAGACAGTACCCCCTTGGTCACAAACAGTACCAGCAGTCTCCCACTGAGCCTGTGCCTGGTGACTCCTCACAGGCCCCCCTGCCCCGGGACAGCCCCCCTCCAGCACAGGCCGAGGTCAGGCCTGACTGGGAGGAGACAGGGAGGCACATGATCCAGATGGCACCTGGCATCGCCACCCCATGTGGCGTTCAAAGGACAGGCCCTGCTCCCCTCTCTTTACCCCCAGGTGCTGGCATGAACTCCAGCTGGGCCGTGGCACGTGAGGCCTTTGCTTTATTCAAGTTTTGCAGAATGTTCTCAGAACCCCATAAATCACGGGTGGTATGGGTGCTAGGGGACCCCAGATGGAGGGAGTGCACCTGTGGACCCAACTTTCCGGCTGGAAGAGACCAGCTTATTGGAAAGAGTTCCTGGGGCTCCTGGGAGAGCGAGCAAGGGCCCAGGAGCTTGGAGAGCAGGATCAGGGCGGAGGAGCTGAGGAACGGGCAGGTTCCCTGGTGGAACATTTTAAAAGGGTGCAGAGAGGGACAGGAGGAAGGCAGAAACTGCATGGGGAAGTCCTACCAAGTACACTCAGTGGGATGTCTGCTGAGCTACGCTGGGCTGGTCTTGGCAAACCCAGGTCTACAAGGGCTGGAGGTGCCAGCAACTCAGGCCTTGGTGGCTGAGTTAAAACCATGAGCCACAAATAATATGTGACTCCATGACTCCATGATGCAAGAAAGGTTGCACTTCCTTTTCTCCCACTTAATTCTGGGCCCCAACTCTCCAGGCTTGCGGGAAATTCAACCCCGCCCATGACTGAGCTCCCCTCTATAACCAAGGCCAGGGGAAGACTCCAGAGCCTCACGTAGCACAGAGCACTGGGGAGACGCCTGAGGTCATCACGCCCAGCACCTCCTGGGTGCCACCAAGCCACCCTGTCCACTAGCTCAAGAATTTGGAAGCCCAGCTTTCTGCTTGGAACAGGGGTAGAGAGGGTGGGAAGTGACATGGAAGCCTCATAAATTAATATTTCAGCAACTATCTTGTGTCTTAGCTTGGGCTGCTGAGATGAAATACCATAGATGGGGGGGCGGGGCTTAAACAACATACATTTATTTCTCCCGGTTCTGGAGGCTGGGGAGTCCAAGGTCAAGGTACTGGCCGATTTGGTTCTTGGTGAGGGCCCACTTCCTAGCTCAAAGTCGGCTGCCTTCTCACTGTGTCCTCACGTGGTGGAAGAAAGGCTCTGGTCTCTCTTCCTCTTTTTATAAGGACACTAATCGCATCATGGAGGCTCTGCCCTCATGACCTCATCTAAGCCTAATTACCTCCCAAAGCGCCCCCCCCAAAAAAAAAAATCATCCCACTGGGAGCTAGGGCTTCAACATGTGGATTTGGGGAGACAAAGAACATCCAGTTCATAACATCTTGAAACAGGCATCTGTCAGGCAGCTGGTGTGCAGCCAAGCCCCCTCGTCCTGCATTACCCCAAGCACCTGGGAATGACATGTAGGGGCCAGGCACAGGGGCGGCTGCTTCGTCGAGCCATGGTCACGGCTGCTTGGCCCAGGTTAGGCCCCAGCTCAGACCGTCCCTGTCTCCGGCAGTGCTCCTCGACCTGTGGGAAGGGCCTGCAGTCCCGTGTGGTGCAGTGCATGCACAAGGTCACCGGGCGCCATGGCAACGAGTGCCCCGCCCTCTTGAAGCCGGCAGCCTACAGACAGTGCCACCAGGAGGTCTGCAATGACAAGATCAACGTGAACACCATCACCTCCCCTCGCCTCGGTGAGTGGCCCCAGGCTGCTGGGAAGGGCGCTGCCGCCCCCAGCCAGCGAGTCCCCGCTGGTGGTAGAGGTCTAGAAGCCAGAAAGCTCCCCCAACCCCCACCTTGCGGCTTATCCAAGCCCTGGAGAGGCCAACGCTTGTCAGCTCTGTAGAATGTCAGAGGTTTCAGAGATGGGATTTCGTTCTTTGTCATGAAAAAGACGTCTGCGAGCGGCGACCTCAAACACAACACGAGAGCGCCCAGCTAGGCACTCTGCCAACAGTGAGGAACACAAGCGGATGGCTCCCCGTTAAGGTTTTGGGGCTCCCGTGCATGAGGAGGGCAAGGGGAGGGGCATTCTTCCAGAAATGAAGGAGCTGGGGTGTCATTCACGAAGCCTTGGTGATGTTCCTTAAGCTGATGCTTGAGAAGAAGGCAGAGGTGGTGATAGGTTGGAGTCTTGAGTTCAGTGGCATGGGGAGGGAGAAGAGGAACGTTTAACATGAATTTAATGGTTCCTTTTAACAGTCTCTGCTTTTCCAAATAGAAGTCCCTAAGGAATATTTTCCTCCCCAGAGCCCCCCTTTCCCTAATGCTGGAATGCAACCAGCACAAAGGGGGCTTCTAAGTTGTTTCACTTGGGGGAGGGGTGGTCTTTGAGCTTGCAGAAGGGCACTCCCAAGCTCTGCATGCACAAACCTCCTTGGGATGCTCCAGAGACCTCCCTCCGGCAGGATCTTCTCTCCGCAGGATGACCCTGAAGGAAGTTTAGGCCACTTGCTTGCGCTGTGAGCTTCTGCTTCGATGGGGCCTTTGAGGCCCACTGCCCCGTGTCATCCTGTCTCATAAATGCCAGCAGTGGTGGTATCCTTCGCCAAAAAGTAACAGTGGGTGCCGCTTAGCTGAGAAGCAGGGTGCACAGTGCCCTTGCCCAGAGGAAGCAGCCAGACCGCCATGCTCTGCCAGGTGGTCAGGTTAGACACAGGAGCGCGTCCCCTGCAGAAAAAAGCGACATCATGTGGCCCGGGCAGGGGGCATATTTCCTCGAGTCCGTGCTAGGCTCCAGCATGTGAGTGAGGGCAGCCCCAGAGTGGGTCAGACCGCGAGCCGTCTCTGTGCGTGCATCAGGATGTCCCCATGCCATCCGTAACCCCTGGGCTCTCTCTCTCCCCACCATCCCCTTAGCCGCTCTGACCTACAAATGCACGCGGGACCAGTGGACGGTGTATTGCCGGGTCATCCGAGAAAAGAACCTCTGCCAGGACATGCGGTGGTACCAACGCTGCTGTCAGACGTGCAGGGACTTCTATGCAAACAAGATGCGCCAGCCACCACCACCGTTGCCGAGCTCATGACACGGGGCCCAGCGGTCCCCCAGCGCTCCAGTGCGTGGTCTGCATCCTGATGACATGGCTAGCTGAAAGCCTGCCCACCTGAGAGCACACCAGTCCTGCGGCCGGGACCCCCCCTCCCCCCACCCAGAGCACACCGCCGCTCACCCACAAGGTTGTCCCAAAAATCCAACCATATAGAACCTGAGCGTGGACTTGATGTTTGCTGTTAGCGCTTTTGTACTTAATATATTGTTAACAGCCACTGGATGGCTTTCTACAGTAAGGAAAAAATAGGCATGAGTCACAAAAATATTGTCATTTCTAAGGTTCCGTGTACCTCAAAGGGAACACCTCTGACAGACCGTTGTCGAAAGAAAGAGATGTCATTGAGCACTTCTGTCTTGGCTTTCTTTTGATGTTTGAATTCCCAGTGCTTGATGTGCCATGGGGGGATTATCCCCCAAAGGAGACATTTTACATTAAAACAGGCTTTATTCTGAAAGCCGGCGGCACCCTGGAAGGAAGGACAGATGTCAGCGAGCCTCTGCTAATGGCTTCTCCTGAGAGGACCAGGCTGCCAGAGCCCTTCTTGACCACACAAGAGTCAGCACTTTGCCTCCCCGCCCATCTCTGAAAGCATGTTCTCTAGATCGTGGGCCTCATCTTGGAAGTTGTGTCCCTGACAGTTTGAATCTCTATCAGCCAAGGATGCCAAGGCCACGTAGTTCTGCATGCCACCTGTGTTGTGGAGAATATTCTGGAAGTGTCTGGGTTTGGGGAAGCATCTAATTTCTATACTGTCCACTGCATCAGGAAACAGAAAGTCTTTCTTCAAGGTGCTATGAAATGGGATGTATGTTAATTTGGGGGATGGGACTGGTTCCTGGCATAAAGGTGAGCTCAGGACAGCTTCATCCGGGGTGTATGGCCCCTCTACCTTCTGGGGGCCTGAAGTACTCCAGGCAATACTTCATAAAGCTTTTCTTCCCGTTGACCTTGGCCATCTACCTAAAGTTGATTCTTTCTAGAACCTCTGGCTACTTCGCCCTGGCCTGGGACTGATTTCCTCCAGAAGCCACTCAGCCTGGTGTGCCAGGATCCGTGGAGGAGGGCCCCCCGGCCAGGATCGCTGCACAACCACCGCGCCTTCCCATAGCCCAGACCTTGCGGGACCCATCATTGTCACGCTGTTGTCATTGAGCCATCTTAGTAAGGCAAGGATGACTCTCAGAAAAGCACGAAGAAAGTCTCTCCCTCCGGCAGCCCCTCAAAACAGAGCTGCGCCCTCTCCAGAAGCCTGGACAAATGACAAGAGTACAGAAGACAGTGGAACCCTGCCCGCTTTGGGAGCTGGGAGGGAGAGACTCTAGATGCCAGGAGGCCTGTTTCGCTCAGCAACTTGGTGGGTGTTTGATGGGTGCTTACGTTCAAGGACTTTACCGTGATAACCGCCCCCCTTTGCCTCTCTGATTGTGGCCAGGGGGCCTCATGTATGCCAATCTCCCTGGGGTCAGCTCCAAGGACTTCCTGATTTATTGGTGCTGTGTTCATGTATCTGCTTTTGTTTTTGATGATGTCACAACTTTAGGGCTAGCTTAAGGCCGTTTCAGTGTATGATTTTTCATATTCCAGAGACAGAGAAGTGGTAGGGATGACGAGAAATGTGTGCGATTCCACTTGAATCAACGAGAAGTATCGAGAAACCTGCTTGGGTGCTGTGTGTAAAGGACTGAAAGAATGCCAGGATGGAGTGATCCATCCTGCAGCGTAACCCCCTCACCCCCCAGTGGTTGCACCGGAGCCTGTGCAAAATGCTATCCTCCCCAGCTCAGGCTTGGCCACCAACAGAATCCCGCAAACCCCATTTCCACAAAACTCTCGAATTCTTGGGGTGCTAGGGTTCCATGTTCCCCTCAGCCCCCAGTGGGCTAAGCTTCACCACAAAACGTCAGAAAGATGGCAGCCTCAGACACTGAGGAGCAGAGCCGGGATGGCCAGCTAAGGAAGCCAGGGCAGCCTTCTTTGCTCATGCGCGCCCTCGTACCCTAGCTGGGCAAGCCCAGAGGCGAGCCCTTTCCCTGGTGCCTCTGAATTACCCCCCACTGGGTCCCTTGACGGTATCCACTGGATGCATCTGGCGAGGGCCTCACACCTTCAAAAGGCAGATAACTGATTTGGTTCTTATTAAACACCCCGTTCGTTCCCCCAATGTCGGTGTCTTTCTTGACCTCTTTTAGCTCATGCCAGAGCACTGTTGCTCTGAAATCCCCCAGCCCGCCTTCTGTTTATGGCATAAGCAATGGCCGATGTCAGTGAAGCCAGCCTGGCGCTCTTGTACAAAAGACATTGAAACCCTGTGATCGCAACAGTGACGTTTCTTTATTAACACTACCCTGTACTGTCACTCAAGTACTGTACCTTTTTGATTGCACAAATGTGTTACTAACTGCAGAGTCTTACGACCTTATGGTGCTACTTTCGTGGGTACAAATGAAACCCTCTCACCTGACCATGGCTTGATATTATCAGAACACAGGGAAAGATCCTCGGCAGCAATAATATCATTGCTTTGCTCTCTTTTCTTCATTTCAGAGTCCAATGTATATATTTTCCATTAGTTAACTTACATTACGTACTGTACCCATGGTATTGTTTTACTTTTTGGTGCTGGTTTTGAAAGAAAAAAAAAGAACAGAAGACAAACATTGGACACCACTGTAAATGAAAAATTAATCATTTCATTGGAAGTGAGTCGAACATGTTTTAATAAAATGTTTTTCCATAACAATTTTAAGCTGTCTGTGAAGTAAAAGACAAAAACCAGTCCTCGAGCGCTGACAGAGGGAGGCCTGTCCTTCAGCAAGTGGTCCCGTAGCTTGCCTGGAACGGCATCCCGACCACAGCTGTGGACGGTGTCAGAGGTCGCTGGTAAATGCAGTTCTGGCGGGTGGCTGGTCTCCCTGAGCAAGCACTAACAAATCATCTGTCCCGGGCCTCACCCCGGTGTGGCTGCAAAGCCCTGGGTGGGGACAGGAAGGCCTGACGGCTGTGCCGTGAGGCTGTGTCTGACACAGAGCAGCAGTTACCTCGCTCGCAGAGACGCCCATGCCCCTCCGTGGGGGTACAGTGACCCCTGGTGCGGGGCCCCTGCAGACCGGGCCCTGGGCACACCAGAATGGGCACCTGCTCCCTACAACCTGGCTTTTCTACCTTTAGCCCCCGCCTCCCCCACCCTGCCGACGGTCCATTCAGCTTCCCTCCTTGTGCAGGGGTGAGGTGGAGCCCTGGCCCTGCAGTCCTCCCAGGCTGAGGACATGGCAAGGGTACCACACTGTGGGACCCTGTCTGGGCTTGACGCAGAGCAGGGATGTCACTGCTCCTCCTGGGTGGGGGAGGCGGTTCATCTCCTTCTGGCATCAAGGAGAAAGAGCTCCCCAGCCAAGAACTTGGAGCTCCATTCGACAGAGAGCACCTCCTTTGAATGTTGGAGCAGCCCCCAGAAATTCCCTGAAGTAGAGACCATTTGTTTAACAGACAGCAAAGTGCCCACAGCACCCCCAGTTGCCAGGAAACACAAGCCTGTTGCTTGTGTTAATTCTCATTAATCATCAGCCACCTACCTCTGAGATCTGTTGGTATCTTCTTCTTTCTCTGAGAGCTCTGATCTCTCTGGAACTTCCAATAGCCCCGATGGTATGTCGTTTCTCCAGGAGCGGCTGCGATTCCTGGGTGGCCCTCAGCAACTTCAGTTTGGTGGGTGAAATTGACAACCTCTCGCTCAGCGAGTGTTCAGTGGGTTTCTAGTAGGAACCAAGCACTCCCTGGAACTGATGAGAACACAACAGAAGACCAGGTCAGGAGCCCAAAGCCCCACTGAACAGACAAGCCTGGAGCCCCGGACAGTAGAGAATGAGCGAGAGCTGCAGGAACTCCAAGAAGGGAAAGGTCAGGACCTCCTTTGTGGGTATGTTGATTGGCCTCTGGACACAGGAAAGAAGGGTGGGGGTTGGAACTTCCATGAACTCTCCAGACCGCTCCACTGGCTCATGCCCCTGTCCTGTATTAACACAGTATTCTTGCGTCACCGGACCTTCACATGCTCCATTGCATCTTGTCCTCAGCAGCCCCTCTCCTTTCGGACATCCTCTTCTCGAAGCTTCTGGACCACTGTCTCCTGACTTGTCTCCTCCTTCAGCTCCTTCCTAGCTCTCCTTTCTCGGCCAGCTCTAGGCGAAGGAATGCCCCAGGGTTCAGCCCCAACCCCCATTTCTCTAAATACTTTCTCCGTATGTCATGTCACCCAGACCCGAGACTTTGAAAACTAAGCATGTTCTGGTATCTCCCCAATTAACATCTTTGGCCCTGACCTCTCTCTTGACCTCCATGTTCATACATGACCTCTCCATGTGCACAGGCAATCCTGCGGGAAGCTCTGGGACTGGAATGGCCCTTCAGAGTTATCCCAAATCTGAGACTTGGTGGGGACGGCTCACCTCTGCTCCATGTGACATTAGCTGGGGCAGTTCAAAGCCTAAGTAGAGGCTGGGATTATCAGAAGGCTCCCATGCTTGCCTATCTGGCAAACAATGCTGGTCCTAAGAACCTCAGCTGACTTTCAGCCAGAACACCTACACGTGACCTCTCCGAGGGGCTGCGTGGCAACCCTGAAGCACAATGGCAGGGTTGCAGTGCTCAACACTCTGAGAGAGAGCACGACTCTCATGACAGCTGTGTCACTTCATGCGACAACTCAAAAGTTACACAGCGTCACGTCCACCATCCTCTAATAGTTAAGGTAGTCACAAAGGCTCACAAGTTCAGGGGGAGGGGACGAAGAGTCCATCTCTTGCTGGGGAGAGTGGCAAGATTCTGGAAGAGCAGGTGAGATGAGAGAGATTTAGCCATTTGGAGGAAGATTCGCATACCCCCAGATGCAGAATACGCTCACCCTTTCCCTAGAGTTGCATCCCATTTCAACATCATGGTCAGGGTCAAAGCCCTGGATCTCATCATCTAAGTCAAGTGCAGGTGCAGGTTGCCTTCCTCTTG